TACCCTCCCCTACCGAAACTTAACTTTTACTTTCGTTAGTTTACTTACCTACCGTTTACGTTCGTATAAATAACCTACCGTACGTTCGTTAGTTCTTCTTCTCTCTAACTACTCTCTCTCTCTCTCTCTCTCTCTCTTTCTCTGAATTCTTATCTGTGATGTAATCTCTCTCTACAACGTGTTTGGATTCTGTCTTTCTCTCTAAGTTTGCAATTATCGTTATGGTTTTGTTATGGGATGATATGTGCCATGTGTTGATGATGAATGGTGAATGACAGGATGTGGGTTTCTGTTTTCATGTGCACAGATTCTGGTTCTTGTGGTGCAAGGGACTTGTAGGATCTATGTTTAGAGAGAGAAAGAGGAGGGAGGTAGAGAGAGAGAATAGATAGAGAAAGAGTCCTGGATAACTCTGGCCGCCATTGGAGGCGCACCTTCTCGCACCTGCAAGAAGGTGTGGGGGCGAGACGGCTTCTTCTTATCTTCCTCTATCTCTCATGTCTGGCGCATCTGTCGCATGGTAGAGGGCTTGCCCATCGACAATGGCTAACGCCTGATTAAAGAGAGAATGTGATGTAGGCTTCAGGTTTTTCTCGCGGAAATTTCTTTGGATTTTCTTACTTGCTTGTGAGGTTCTCTGCATCAAAAGAAGAAGAATAGTTAGGAGTCATTAGCTGAGATGGGCAGATTCAATTGCTTCTCAGTGCTCATCCCCAAGAACAAAACCAAGGTAATCTTTGAGGATTATATTTTTTTTTACCGTTGAAATCCATTGATTTCTGTTTTTGTTGTTGTTTTGTTGATTTTAAATCCATTAATTCCTTTTTTGTTTCATGGCTGTTTCATTGATTTCTTCATGATAATTCATATAGGAAGTGAAAGCAGTGGATTCCCCTGTAAAGAAACTAATGTACTTTCTTCTAATGATTTCATCTTTTTTTCTAGCTAATGTTTTTCCCCAACTTTGTAGATTTCTTCATATAATGAATAAAATCAATGGTTTTCTCATTTGGGTTTGCCATGGATATTGATTTTGTTCCCTTGAAAGCAGTGGATTCCCCTGTAAAGTAACTAATGCACTTTCTTCTAATGGTTTCATCCTTTTTTCTAGCTAATGTTTTCCTTCAACTTTGTAGATTTCTTCATATACGGGTTTTCTTTTCTCATTTGGGTTTCCATGGATACTGTTTGATTTTGTTCCCTTGAATTCTATGGCTTTCTAAATATTATAAATTGAAATACATGGATTTACTTTTTCGACTTCCAATCGGTATTCTCTGGATTTTCGCTGATTTTCCCTGCAAATTCACCATTTTCTTCGTGCTACATATGAAAGGGTTGTGTTGTTCAGGTGACATTCCCCCAAACTGACCATTTTCTTCATATATCAAAAAGAGAAAAAAGGGTTCCATGCAAATTGTTAAAATTTGGTGATTTCTTAACATCATTTATCAGAAAGAATTGGATTTTTACGCAAATTGTTCTGGTTTATTTTTTCTTGCAGAAGGGGTCTGGAGCTGTCGGGCCAGTAACAAAGGAAGAAAGGGGGGTTCTGCAAGTGAAATTGGAAGGGCTTTCTAACAATCAAACAAACATTAGTGATAATGACAATAACAGTCGCATTGCCTCAAACTCCACCTCCTTCAATCTCTCTCTACCCTTCAAAAATCAGGACAATTCCACCACCACGTGCAAAGTACAGATCATGGGTCAAGAGGCCTCTTTTGAATCTGATCTCTCTGACCAAAAACAAAGCCCCAAATCTAAACCTGGACCAGAGGCTACAATTTTGGATGCAGCCTATGAGGGTGAAGATGAGCACGAGTTTCACCACTCGGCATATCGAGAAGCCTCTGACTATGACCCAAATGTCCAACTCTTCCATAAACCAGAGGAGAAACAATTGGAGTTATCAATTAGTTCAAAAGCCGGTTCCTATGGTGATCTAACGGTGTGTGGAGACTATAAATCAGAGCGGGAAGACCTGACTAAAGGTGGCCATGTGAGTGATCCAGGTGTGAATAGAGCGTATGCTCTCTCCCCTTCTTCTCCTAAACTTAAACGTTCATGCTCAAATCTTGAAACTAGAGATTCACTCAAGAGGCACAATTTGCAACCATTTGAGGAGGTTTTGAGCCTTTGTGAGCTTGAAAAAGGAAGCCCAACTCCTGGTTTGAGTCCTTGCAGTGCTGATAGGGTGATGCTCAAGAGAAGATCATCGAGCCAAGTGCTTCCATCAAGGAGCCGGCGGCTTTGGTGGAAGCTCTTCTTATGGAGCCATCGAAATATGCATAAATCGCATCAATCTAATAGAGTGAACCATGAACCAATGGCTTCTTCTGCTGTTGATGAGAGAGAGGGGTACACATCTGATAACTTGGAACTACACCGGATAGAGCCCAAGTCACCTGAATCGTCGACTTGCGGTTTCCAATTTCAAACTGGTGTAGATTCAGGCCCCCACAAAAATGACACCTTTTGGAATTGCAATCAATGGGTGGCATTTCCATCAGAGACCTCGCCATTGTCGAGAGTGGATGAATGGGTGAGCAGCATCGATGTATGTGCTATCATCCTTGATGATGAGCATAATGATGATGGTAATGATGGGTATAATGACACTGATGATGGTGGTGGTGATGGGGTTTCTTCTCCATGTGAGAATGGGGCTGAATTGGTTGACAAGTTACACAAGAATATACATAGCGAGGTTTTGCAGGCCAACAATGTGATAAGGTCACTGAACTCTTTTTCTACAGTGGCTCATATTTCTGGCATGGGACTGAAAGTCATTCCAGCAATTTCAATGTACTCAAGCCTTCGGGTATTGAATCTCTCTGGCAATTTCATAGGTAAAAGACAGCCTACTTCTCCTTTTTCTGTTTTCTTTTTTCTGCTTGGGATGGACTCTGAAATACTGTATTGATATGGTTTTGATTGCAATTCAGGGTTTACTGCCAGTCATTCTGTCTGGACATGGCATAAACCAGAGGGCCATGATACTTCTTCTAAATTTTGATGAAATTGGAGGGAATCTTTAGAAAACTAGTTTTCTTAAATGGTCAATATTCAAGTGCTTTATCTGTGGAGATCCTTGTCTTTTATTTGCTTAGAAATAATAATACAGGAGACTCTTTTCATGATTGAATCCCAACTGAATTTACTAAAAGAAACAAAATCGAGAACAAAATTCGTTGCAAATTCAAAATGGATCACTGTGAAATATTTGAAACCTGTTATTTCTTGGCAATGAAACTCTACTTTGATATTGTGGCACATTTGATTTTATTATAATCTTTTGTTCATTTGCATTGCAGTTCATATATCTCCTGGGTCCCTGCCAAAGGGCCTGCACACACTAAACCTGTCAAGAAACAAAATAGTGACCATCGAAGGTCTACGTGAACTTACTCGCCTGCGTGTGCTTGATCTCAGTTACAACCGCATCTCTCGCATTGGCCAAGGTAAGTTCTCAATATCTGCTAAAACTTGATTAGGGATATAATAAATTTACAAATGAATTACATCGTTACACAAAATTTGTAAGCGAGATTTTATGTTATTTCCCAAATATCTTACATATTCTCTAATATTCAGAGATTTATTGCGAACGTAAAATGTGTTCACTGAATTATTTGTCATATACTTGCGATTTGGCAGCCCTTTGTAAACTGTAAGTAGGGATTTGAAATGAAAAATCAATTTCCTTGTGGTAACCAAGAGATAATTGTAATATAATTTCACTTTTGAAGACCTTCCCATTATTAATGGGTTCCTATAGGAAAAACCTAGATTGCAGTTTTCTTTGTTTGGTGGATAAGTTAGAAGTAAAATCCAAGGTTATAAAGCTGCAGGTGTTTTGGCCCAACCGTCTAGGCCAAGAGACAGGCCCATCTCATATGCCAATATTGCAGTTTTCTTTGTTTGGTGGATAAGTTAGAAATAAAATCCAAGGTCATAAAGCTGCAGGTGTTTTGGCCCAACCCTCTAGACCAAGAGACAGACCCATCTCATATGCCAATTGGTATAGCCCTGGATGCCTATTGAACTTTTTGCTGTGCATTTCTTTTTTTGAAAAAGAATCCTTTTCCTACTGGAGGGTTTAGGCTATGTTTTCCCTCTTTAAGAGTACTCATATATGCATGAACCTAGAACTTGTGATGTACATTCAAGTTGCAACGATGCAAAATCCAGCTACGGTTTTCCTCATCACTGTGGTACATAAGCTAACACCTGAATGCTGTGTCCTTCTTTGTGCCTTAAGCACTAAGCCAAGGGGCCGAATGCTGAACCAAGATCCAAAATCATAGTGCAGACTGCCCTTGTGCTCCACTCACAAAGCCAAAAAAGGAAAAACCGATCTCCCAGCTACTATTTCACCAAATAATAATACAACTACTGACCTTCAATACAAACACACATATTACAATCAGAATCTAAACCTTTATGTTTTTATCGTTAGTGAGTCTAAAACTGGTAATCATACACGTGAAAATACTAAAGGAAATGCATCATCCACAGGGCTATCAAATTGCACACTGATAAAGGAGCTCTACCTAGCAGGCAACAAGATAAGTGATGTAGAAGGTCTACACCGTCTCCTCAAGCTTACTGTGCTTGATCTCAGCTTCAACAAGATAACCACAGCTAAGGCCCTTGGTCAACTTGTGGCTAACTATAACTCCCTCCAAGCCCTAAACTTACTGGGAAACCCCATTCAAGCAAACATGGGAGAAGAGAGCCTCAGAAGAGCTGTTTCAAATCTATTACCACAACTTACATTTCTAAACAAGCAAGCCATCAAGCCATTAAGAACCAGGGAGGTTGCTATGGATACTGTGGCCAAGGCAGCTTTAGGAAGCAACAGTGGAGGGTGGCATTCGCGTCGTAAGCCTATTCGAAGAATCAGCTCACAGCAGGGGTTGGTAACTAGTGCACGGAGCAGTAGGCGTAGGGGTGGTAGCAGCAGCCGGAAACATGAAAAGGGTGGTAATGTGGGGCACGAAGCCTTGTCCTCACATAGAAGATTGCGTGTTTCCTCTTAGTGGGTAGTGGAATTAAGTTTGTATAATATTATGGTTTTCAGTTGCTTGAGTTTTACTATTTATTTGTAACAGTTTTAAGAGGAAGAATGCATCAAAGACCATTTTAAGAGGACTGCCTAAAGAAATGTGTTTTTCTTCTCTTCTTGGGGATTTTCTTCAGACTAGTGTTCATTTTACTATGTCATGAATAATGTTCAGTTGAGAGTTTTGTTTTTAAACGTCTATACAACGAACGTAGGGTTTTGTTTGTTCAAATATTTATTTTAAGGAATTGTATATTATATGACTAGTCACTTTTGATACAAAAAAATCACCACCACCCTTAACCATTATTTATGAAATCCTACAAACTCAAGGGGTATTATACAATTTGACAAATTTTATTTTAGATTTTGCGTCAAACAATTACACCTCCAACAACTCAATTTTATATCTTATCTAATGGTCGGGAATAATATAATTCGTTATTCCAAATATAAATGGTACTATTGTATGCATTTCCTTTTTTTAATTAGCAAGAATTAAAGTATCCATTGAGTTGCACCAAAAGACTAATGAACCAAGGCACATTACTCGATTGCCATCAATGAAGGCATGGGAGCCAGTCAAAGACCCGAGCAAAACCCACAGCCCTTTGACATGGAAGATTTGAATGTCGTAACCTATGGGCTGGTCCATCTTTTTTTGTAAAGAACCTTTCATGGCAATGGGATTGGATGCATCTTTTTTAATATACACGAATTTATATATTAGCACCGGACACTAGTGTCAAATGCCAATACTAAATTGGTCATTCCATATGATATGTCTATCCATTTTTCAAAATGGTGTGGTTTGTATAAAGCTTAGGCTCTAAACAATCAAATTAGAGTCTACCTTTAAATAGTGTGGAGAAATGTAGTTTCAATACTGGAAATATTTTTGAGAGCCTTAAAATATATTTTCAACTTCATTTATAAAGTTTAAAGCTTCAAAAATAGTGTAGATCAACATATCTATAAAAACTTGAAAATCTTGAAAATTAACGGTCCAAAAATATGTTACCAAATACACTATTTCCAAATTTTGAAATCCATTTTTTTATTATCTCGAAGCATCTTGATGTTGAGATGATCAATTTGAGGTTATTTGGGCATCAAAATAACCTCTTCTAGTGAAATTGTTGATGTAGGCTCTAATTTGATTGTTTAGAGCCTCGGCTCTATATGAACTTTTCCTTTTTCAAAAAGATTTGAGGTAAGAGATTAATGGTATTAATATAAAAGGTCGGAAGTTGACATTCGGAAGCTGACAGTAAAAAAAACACTCCATAGATGATGATCACTTTGGGAAGCTGACAAATTAATGGGTGCATCTAAATTTTTCAAATGTCAAACCATGTCCTCTGCGATGAATAATGGATACAAAGTCAAAGGTATAGGTTGAGGTTTTGATTAGTTAAATTGAATTCATGTGTAATGGTTGAGTTCTCTTGTTCTTATATTAGAAAACAAAGTTTAAGAGAATATATATATATATATATAAAATCCACGTGGGTCTATAAAACTAAGACATTTTCATAACAGTTTTAAAGCCGAGATCTAAGAGTAATTTGAGGCAACCAACCACTGGAAAAAGCCACGACCCCTTGAAGGAGCTTAAGAAATTGGCAGAGACACGAAGCTCTCTGCCATAACTCCAAATAGAAGAACTAAGCTTGTATTCAATACAACTATATAATTCATCATCATCATCATTTTAGTTTTTTTTCAATTAATTGGGGTTGGCTACATGAATCATAGTTCTATGCTCTATACAACTATACAATTAATTTAACCCATCTCTATTCTCAGACCCAACTAACCAACCCAAGTTCTCAAAAGAACTTCAACTAAATACAAGCCCCCAAGTCCTCAAAAGAACTTGGACCAAATACAAAAGGTGCATTTCACATACCTAATCTCAACCCAATCGTTAGAATCTCGCTCTCAACTCCCTCGTATTGGAATTTACTGCATCTTGGAAAGTCTCGAAAGAACTCATGGTATTATAGTTGAAAGTTTCATTGATCTCCAAAGGCATACCACACAAATATGTAAGAAAAAAAAAGTCCCTAAAAAGCTCCTGGTAATTCACGTACCCCTCTATGACCACCAAGTATAGCCTCCAAGTCAATTGCATTGCCTGTTCTATCATTGTGGTATCTCGGTGATGGTCCCCACCACATCAACAAACCTGATGTCCCCGAACACGCCACTACGAGTTACTGCTTCTAGATTAGCATCCCCATAGGCGTGTGAAAAAACGAGACATCATGAGCGTAGTATATCAAAGACCTCGTAAAAATATGGGACTTCATTATCTTGAAGCAAAGCTTCAGAGAACAATCTCTCAGTAAAGCAGCCTTTTTATGGTAAACCTTCGGCAAACATATTTGGAGAGATTGCCCAAGGTTTTTCTCATATTGAATTCATAGTCTGTGTTACGATCCCAGGCTTAGTTTATTTTTCAATAAAGTATCATGCTTAGTACGAGCAGTTGTTGTTTAGGTAGTATTGTTCACTTGTATTTAGGAGTCTGTTGCTTAATGTTAGGAGTTGTGGTAGACGGTTTCTAATGGGGTCTCCATGATGTGTCTGGGTAGTTGTTGTAATGGGTCTCATTCCTATTATATAGGGATTGTGGGTAGAATAATGAGGGAGGTGGTAGAGGGTTAGTAGGGGGCTATACATATCTCATTGTAATGGGGAGAAATGGGATAATTATCAATATCTTGTGCCCAGCACTTCAGGAAGTTTAACTTCCCTCAAAGAAACTACTAATTGTCTCTCTCGTAATTCTCTTCTTATACTCTATCATGGGTAAAACGTTCCTCTCAAATAGGTAAAAGTAAGAACAAAGGGGTGTCTCACGAGTTGAGATATCTAGCCTAGGATTTTGACGTAAACACTTTGAACGAATAACAACGTCAAACTCGCTCAGCAATTCGAGCCCATAACAATTTGTTATCAGAGCCAGGCATGGAGGATCAACGCATTGAACGTTTGGAGTCCGAGATAGGAAGCTTGAAGGCAGATCAAGAGCGAAGCTTCAAGGACATGATGGACTCCATACAGCAGGTATTCGCTGCAATCAATACCCGCCTTGATCAAGCGAGGAACAACCACGAAAATGGTGAATCTTCCCATACAGGGAAGACTCATATGGGACCATTTTCGAATGGCAGTTCGAGGTACGTTGGAACCTACCTTCCGCGAATGGTCATCATACACCGGAAGATGATCGAGTTCCCCTTGCGTCATTCAACTTAGAAGGTGATGCTCAGCTATGGTACCAGCTGATGAAGGAAGAGGGTGGGATTGCCTCTTGGGATGACTTCAAAAGTAGCCTCCATGCACGTTACAGCCCACCCCAATTCCAGGATTTTTTTAGTGATCTCACAAAGCTGCAGCAAACTGAGTCTGTACGAGAATATCAGACTCAATTTGAGCGTTTGTTGATACGGGCAGGACAATTAACACCATTACAGCAAGTAGGGTGTTTCATAAGCGGGCTCAAAAAAAGCATTAAGACTGATGTGCAGGCTTGTCAACCTGCAACTTTGACTACAGCAATAGGATTCGCCCGCCTTTATGAGCATCGCCAACTGAACACCAAGAAGGCAGTGCCTAACGAACCAATGAAAATCGGCATCAACCAGTCCAGCTCGAGTGGATCTTTCATGCCAATTAAAAGGCTATCTCCAGCAGAACTCAGCCAACGGCGTGCAAAGGGACTTTGCTTCAATTGCAACGAAAAGTTTGGCCCTGGCCATCGTTGCAAGAAGCTATTCCTCATCGAAGGGAGCTAGCTAGATGAGGATGAGGAGGCGGAGGCGGAGACAAACATGGCAGACAAGGTACCTGAAATCTCCCTCAACGCCATTTATGGGGCGAAGGCTCTACTGACTATGCGTGTTCAAGGAAGTTTGAGCCAACATAGGGTAACTTTTTTAATTGACTCTGGTAGTATGCATATTTTTTTGAATAATGCTATTGCACAAAAAATGGGCCTAAATCCTAGCAGTAAAGGGAAGTTTGAAGTGGTTATTGCTAATGGTGAAAAACTCTCTAGTTCTGGATGCTGCAAAGCTCTTTGCATGATGATGCAAGGAATCCCCCTAGTGGTGGATCTCTATCCATTACGGATGGAATTTATTTTGAATGGGAAAGAAGTCCCATTACAAGGATTGAAATCAGTTGATAATAAGGTGGTGCACATGGATAAGATTAGCAAGGATATCAAAAAAAGGGGAGAAAGAATCTTGTTGCAGATATATTCACTTTCTATGAAAGGCACGCCAGGTAATTCTACACCCGAATTTTCTCCTCAATTTTCTAATAGCCAACTTAACAAGCTATTACTCTTGTTTGAGGACGTTTTCAAAGAACCACAAGGGCTACCCCCGAAGAGAGCACACGACCACCAAATCCCCTTGAAAGATGGAAGCAATCATGTTTCTGTACGGCCCTACAGGTACCCATTTTATCATAAAGCTGAGATAGAAAAGATGGTGACCGAGCTATAGAAATTTGGAGTGATAAAACCTAGCAACAGCCCCTATTCTTCATCGGTGCTGTTGGTAAAAAAACATGACAACTCGTGAAGGATGTGCGTCGACTATAGGGCTTTAAATCAGCAAACAGTGACGGATAAATTTCTCATACCCAATATTGACGAACTTTAGGATGAATTGCATGGGGCCTCCTTTTTCGTAAAGCTTGATCTTCGGTCAGGGTACCACCAAATTCACATGCAACCAGAAGATGTTGAGAAGACCGCTTTTCGCACCCACCATGGCTATTACGAATTTCTGATAATGCCTTTCGGGTTAATGAACGCCCCTTCTACCTTTCAATCTTTGATGAACAATGCTTTCAAAAATTACCTACATAAATTCATATTGGTGTTTTTTGACGACATTTTGATTTATAGCAAAAATTGGGAAGACCATTTGAAGTATATTGGTCTTACACTATCTGTTTTATGGGCTAACCAGTTATTTGTAAAAAAGAAAAGTGTGCGTTTGGGCAACATGAAGTGAAGTATTTGGGGCACCTCATCAGTCAAGATGGCGTGGCCGTGGATCCAGAAAAAATTGTAGCCATGACCAACTGGCCCGAGCCCACAACGTTAAAAGCTCTCCGTGGATTTCTGGGATTAACAGGATATTACCGAAAATTCATTCAAAATTACAGTAAAAT